AATAAATAATATTATAATTATTAATAAAAATTATTAATAAATAAAAATACTAAGCCTAAAAAAAAAATCTTTTTATCATAAAATATAGAATATATTATAGAATTTTATAGAATCGGACAAGTAATAATGGGAGAAAATCTTTTTGCAGAATGTCGCGGAGGATCAATGTCTGCGCCATCGTGTTGCTCTTTCTGCTCGAGCTGACCACGTCGGCTATGGTCCTGCCGAGGCCGCCCTCGTCGCATCCTAATCACATCCGTCAGGATCAGGATTTGTCGGCGCACAAAGCGCTCGAGGGCAAGTCCCTTCACGGCGTCCCCGCGCGAGACGTCAACATAGATAGACCCGAGGACTACAGGTATTACTATCGATACTCGTTCTTAAAGCGGCCCTCTTTTCGAAGCGCCTCTCTTTTTTCATACCGCCAACCGGTATTGATATTATATGCCGCTGCTACGCTCCACGACAATTCACTTTCGCTCGCTCGGAACGTTAGAACTAGTTTGAAATAATCCGATGAATAGTCGTTGATTGTTATCGATTGTGATCGCAAACTCGAGCGTTCTACCTCGAGACGATGATGCCTCGTTGCAAAATATACTTTTAAAAGAGATCGCGTGATATAGATATCTTATAAAAGATTGCCTTAAAAGATCTCTCTTTCGCGTATTGTATCAAATTTTATCTAACGTATAATGTTGAATTATATTTTATTCGATCTTTATTTTTTGTTAATATATTTAATTTTGTTAATATATAGGGTGTTCCAGATCAGGTCAATGAAACTCCAGGATTTTATAGGAAATTGAATTTGGAACAAAAAAGTTCCTATAAACATAGATCCGGAAACGCTTCGTTAAAAGGTTATAGCTAATAAACTTCGAAAAAAAACACGTTTTTTTGATGATTTTTAAAAATAACATCAAAACCCTACATTCATTTGAAAAAAATAACGAAGTAAATCTGATGAGTAATTAAATAACAAATTAAATTATACTAATTTCATTTAATTCTGATAAGACCATAGATATATTATATATAGATAGATATCTTACTTTATCTATCTTACTGTCTGCCAAGATAATAAGATACTTTCCTCCCTCGCGCATGTGCAATCGCGCATTTCTCCTGACAGACGAGAAAATAACCTGTTGCTAACGAGAAAATAATCTCTTTTATTTTATATAGAAGATATCGTGTTTAATAAAAATACAATATATTTAATTTCTCATACTTGTTAATTCTTAAATTTCTTAAAATTTTGCAAATGCAAAATCCAAGTTCTTACAAACGATGTGCGTCCGCCGAGAGAAACGTACGAATGCGCATGCGCAAGGGAGGAAAATATGCTATTTATCTTGGCAGACGCGACTCTAAGGCAAAAATGATACAAAGTTCTATCGTTATATAATATATCTATGGATAAAACGTTCAAAAGAAAACAAACTCAAAACAATGAAAAAAGAAGAAACTTGAAAACAAAATCACTTTTTGATGATCTTTGTGTAAACATTACATTCGTAGTGCAAACATCGCAAATGCAAACCTAAAAATGTTCTTTTTAAATTTTGATCATAACTAATTACTTATAGAGAGTTTATTAGCTATAACTTTTTAACGAAACATTTCCGGATCTATATTTATCAGAACTTTTTTGTTCCAAATTCAATTTTTTATAAGAAGTTTCATTGACCTGACCTGGAACACCTTGTATATGTATATTAATGGATGAGACCAACATCTTGGTGTGTTATTCCATTATACTCTAACGGCTTTTCTTCGGGAAACTCTCTCGACTGACTCACCGCGATTAAGAAACGATATTTGCTTCGAGGCCTCGTGATTCTAAACCGCTTGAACAAAAGCGGAAAATCCCGCTCGTTCTTTCTCACCGCCAGAAAGCGGCCCAATTAGTGGCGAAAGAAAAGCCGTCTTCGTTTGTCGGTGCACGAGAAACGTGAGAAACTCGACCGAGAGTAATTACTCCTGTGTAATTTCAACGACGGTAGATTTACGCGCTCGCGATACGTATCTTTGAGGCATCGATACCTGAAAAGAGGGCGGAAGAAGAGGAGAGTAACCGACGAGTCTTGAAAGCAAAGTACCAAGCGCGATGTTGGCTGGCCCAAGCCTTCGATTGTCTCGATCCTTTTCTCGGGCGGCCGCAATGATTGCTGCGGTTTAATAATCGCGAATATCCGTGAAGAAAGGAGAAGCATTTCTGAACAATGACACCTGCAATGTCGTGAAAATGGCGTAACGGCCATGGACCGCGGCTTCAAAAGCAATCTTCCGCTCGCGATGTTTATCTTACCGCTAATATCGGATTAGCTTCGATGATATACTTTAATCCGTTACTCGTGCTATATATTTACGGTTGATCTTCTGATGTCTTAGAAACGCTTTATCCGCTTGTATCCGGCTATTTATAATACCGGAAAGCCGCGTAATTGTTATGCAGAAACGTGAAAATTCAATTCCTTTCTCTTGTCTTGGTAGATTCGTCGAGATCGAGCTGCGAAATGCAGACGAGATGGACGCGGCGAATCTGCAGGGTCTCGTGCATGCGATGCTGAATCAGCAGCAAACCAGCGAGCAGTCGCAAATACCGAGCGATCCCGGCTATCCGAATCCCGAGGTAATCCCGCACTCGATCCTCGGCGTACGCGACATGGGGCTGAGTCCCAACTATCGGTTGGATACCTTCGACGACGACAAACGGGTCCTACTGAGAGCATCGCCGAAACTACAGAGCCTCGACGAGAAGCTATACTACTTGAAGAGTGGTCGTCCCAGAGTCTACGTAAACGTTCGCGGACACAGCGGCTCCTTTCGCAAGGAGACGACGTTGACGGCGACTCCGAGCGAAGGCGCGGTGGGATACCTAAGGGTGACGCGACCATTCGAGAGGCAGACGGACTGGAAGACGCGAGACAGGAAAGCACGACCGCCCAAAAAGTTCGATCGTCGCGTCGACGGTGTCGTTTCGTCCAAGAGCCAGGAGGTAGGTAGTAAGGCGAACGATCAAGGAACGTTATACGAACGAGCGGACGATCCGTCGACCACGGAGAATTCCATGGTCACGTCCAGCGAATTGCCCAAACAGATACCCGCGCCGCCCAGCAAGATCCGGACTCTGATGGCACAGACTACACCTGTGCAAAGGTACGCGTTCAGAAGGACGGATATCTTGCCGGGTTATGGCTTCATCGAGGAATAATTGGAATGAAAACTGGCGCAAAATTGATTTCTTCGCGAAGAATGCAGACGCATCTCTCGTGTTTAGAAGCTCTAAAGTACAAAAAGATACGACCAAAAAGAACGGCAGAGAAATTTTATTATGAAGTAATTATTCACGTACCGCTAGCTTTATAAAGAGCGTTGATAATTATTTTTTCGAGTTTTTTTTTTTCGTCTTTTACATAGTAATTAAATTAAAGTTGTAAATCCGACATATTTTCCAAGTGGCACGAAACCTTGGAAACCTCGATGTGGGGTAGCTGTGATTGCACGAAAAAACATTATCTTGCCTCGGCGAGACTCTAACGTCATTAAATCAATAAATTTGACGTCGAGTCGGGCTTAAGAGTTTAATTTATATGCCGGGTAGAGACGACTTACGGTATATATCATACATATATAAGAGTACTATATATATCGTTATTTATACAGATTAATATATGCTTGTAATACATATATATAATTGTCTAATATAGAATTAAGATAATAGAGTATATATAAAATATATTAACTTGTAACGATAAGTGAGAAAGTATGCGCATGCTGATAAAACATTTTTACTTTCTCCTATTCTTTGGCAATTGAATTTTTATTTTTAAAGAAAAGAGATATGATGAAACGCTAGATATACTATAGTGTAAATTAGAAAGAAAATTGTATCAATAGAAGCTTACCTGCTCTGCCTTTAACGTGAGCTCGATGAAGATCTGCTGTAATTTTTCGTTCACGAAATTGATGCAGAACTGCTCGAAACCGTTCTTCTCAAAGATCTCGAAGCCGTATATGTCTAAAATCCCGATCTCGTATCCATCCGTATTTGTCTCCATAGCGAAATTGACTTTCTGCAAAATCGTCAATTACTCGGTTAAGAGAGATCTAAGCTCCTTTTATAAATTTTTACAATATTTTTTTTAGATGAAAAAAAAAAAAATTATCGATGTGGAAATGTATATATCAAATGTATTTTTGCCAAAAAAAGTCAATTCACTTTTCTTTTTACGAAAGAAAAGATTTGCTCAGATTATCTTCCATAAAAGATTATCTTCCATAAATATTATAATCACTACTGAAAATAACATTGCCGCAATGTTACTACAATGTTGCAATATTGCTGCAATGTTGCTGCAACGTTCTGTGCTGTATGGAACATTTCTCCGTGTCACGTGTAACATCGGAACTAAATCTTTTGAATGAATTTCGGATGAATGCTCCGTCACACCTTAACCAGATAGTCGAAAAGTCGGGCGTAGATATCCTTTGCTAAGGCATCCTTCGTATAAAGCGCCTGTTCTACATTCAGGGTCACATCCACGCTCTCAGATTGACTCCCCCATTTCGACTCGAATTCTCGAGAAATTAGCTTGTGCGATAGCTGTTCTGCCGAAATTCCAAAGAGATAGGCAGGAAACTCGAGAACTGAAAATATATTTATATACGGTTAGGAGAGAAACTTTTGCGGCAGAAATGTAAATATTAATAACACATATATCTATATTATTAAAATTAATTTATCTTGGACCAACTGATAAGGCACGATAGATTGTAGATAGATTAGTCATGCGACTTTATATACATATGGATAGATAAAGCTAGATATTAATAATATAATAGATATATAAGTTATATATAATTAATCACTGTTGTTTTTTTATTTCTTGATAGATAGATGTCTTACATTGCTTATCGGCTATCTGCGAATAATTGCCGTTCTCAGCAAACTGTATATTTCCCACATGAAGTATCCCAGCTACCAATCTGAATATATCAATCACTTCTGTCTCCTGCATATCCATAACGCCCAACGCTGTAAACGATATATGATCATTAAATAACAAGTAAGATCTATTGTTAATTTCTTAAAAACAAAAAATTTGTTAAAAACAGAAAAGATAAGAAAATGTATTAGAATAATCGTAAACGTTAAATTATTAGTCATTCAATTGCACAAAATTTAATTAATAGATTGTGAGATATGATTTAATCATCTTACATACCTTTAAGGGTTTCCTGAAAATCCCGCGCATCGTTCGTGCCATCCACCCTATGATTGCCACCGTAATTCAGATATTGATAATAATCGAGATCCGTTAATCCAAATTCCGCTATAAAATTTAAACGTTTTATTATTATTCTTTGCACTTAATTTCACATTTTTTCACGTCAGATATACTTTTATTCGTCGATTATTTACTCACCTTTCATCTCCTGATTGGCGCCTGTCGCCAGCTGATAAAATATATGAAAATTTCGCTCGCCGGGATTGTGACACGTCACCCTCGACTTTTCCAAAAGAAAATTCGAGATCTTGCCACCGTTCGGCTGACCGCCCGAGCCGAACTGCATCTCAACATATTTTCCCTGAAAATGTATCAAGTATTTTTTTTTTCATCGCGCTCTCGTTCACGAAGTAGGAAAATCGATGAAAATTAGTATCGATACGTACAAATCTACTACTGTTATTATTTCTCATGGTCTTTGCATTGCCGAAGGCTTCCAAAAGCGGGTTCGATTCCAGGATCACGTCCTTTACCTTCTGTACCTTCCTGCCGCCACCGCTCACTCTTGCCACATAGGACATTATGTATTTTGCGGCAACCGTTTTTCCAGCGCCAGATTCACCGCTGCGAAGTAAATATTTAGAACACGTATAGTAAGTACACTTTCTGGGACGTAAAGTAATTATTCACCTACCGCAAGCTTTATAAAGAGCACTGATAATTATTTTTTCAAGCTGTTTTTCGTTTTTTACATAGTAATTAAATTAAAACTTGGAAATCCCACATTTATATATAGGGTGTTCAGAAGGAAAGGTCAATATTCTGGGAGGTGAGGATATCTCGGTCATTTTAAACAAAAAATGTTCATATGAACGAGTGTCCTAAACAAAAAAATAAAAAAATAAAAAATAAAAAATAAAAAAATAAATAAAAAATAATAAATAAAAAATGTGTCACTTGAACAATAAATTAGAAACAGTACGCAGTATCTTTTTCTTATCAGTAATTTTGCAACTGTACATTCAAACAGCTCTATCGCGGAAACCGTTTGAAATAGAACACTCGTTTATATGAATATTTTTGCTTAAAATGACCGATATCATCACTTTCCAGAATATTGACCTTTTCTCCTTGGACACCCTGTATATTAGCAAAAAATGAAATCATAAAATTTTTTTTATAATCTTACATAAGACAGTTTTATTGCAAATATCGTTTACCTTATAATGACGCAATGACTTTCGTTGTCAATCAGCATGTTTCTATACATTTCGTCGGCCAATCCATAGATGTGCGGTGGATTTTCGTAGGGCGCCTAAATAACAATGACAATAACTTTATTGCGCGTGCGTAACTCTGTTCTTTTTTTAAAAAAATCGAGTGATACAAAAGTTCTCTTGATGCAAGAATGATAGCATTTTTGCACTTACCGCGCCTTGATATATCTCGATCTCCTTCTCTCCGAAATACGGCATCTGCTTGAACGGATTGACCGATACCAATACGGGTCCAATACATGTCTGATAGAGAGCAGTTAAGGAGCGTTTCGCGAATCATTTGACAAGTCTAATTAGATTATCGTGATACGCGGCCCGGAATTTGTGCAAATTTTCTGCACAAGAGACAATGACGTTCTCTGATAGTACGCAAATCGAATAAATAGACTGAAAAAGGATACGAATATGTAATCGTCCATGTATCTCTTTTTGAGATTCTCGATGATGGCATCCTCGTTGACCTTGGGCAGGAGGACCATATCGTCCACCCCGGAAATTTTGACATTTTGGCTCTGCCAGTGGTACACCTAAAATTGAATTTAAATTAATTGGATGTGTGAATTGTAAATTTATATTGTTGTAAAATCGATGAAAATTTTATTAATTACTAGGGTGTCTACTCCCTGAAAAAAACATGAAAATTTGGAATTCTCAGAGAATTTTTTTGTATCTGGAAAAATCAGGGAATTCTCATGGAATCTTTTTCGGACTCAAGGAATTAAAAAAAAATTCTTTCTTTGATAATTTTGCCTTTATACTATAAGCAGTAGGCAATCCACCAAGTTGTGAAATATGTGTTTAAAATATATTGTAAATATATATCTATCTCTATTTATATATTCAATGTCTTAACAAAATATTGAATATGCAGTCCTTTTTTTTAATTTTAATTTTTAGCAATAAAAAATGAAAATGTTATACAAGTTAAAAATTTTTATCTTAACAAAAGCTATTCAGTTTTTTTTTTTTCAGTACATTTGTAAATCTAGTACTTGAAACTGAAATAGTTTTTCCTTTGTATGAGTGAAAAACATTAGGAAACGCGTACAATAAAGAAAAAAACTTTTAGAAAATTGCACCAAAAAATCTTTAAAATATTTTCTTTATCTGGAATTTTGAACAAAAATACCTGGAAAATCAGGATTTTTTTTTTGCAAGATTTGAGCAGATACCCGGAATCACGAATGAAATGACACGCAAGGAATTGGCGAACGCCATTCACAAATCCAATTACTGATTTTCTGTATCGTGAGTATCGCAAGCGTGCTTATTCGTTCCGACATTTCACGGATCGCCCGATTTATCGATCGCTTCCGTTCTTCTTTTAGCAGAGGTTCAATATGCACTTTTACAACGCCCTTTTACCGCAATGTGGCTTATAATAGGCGTTATACTTAACACATTATTTATATACATATAGCGATTTTTATAAATAGGCTTGACATATTAAAGCAAAACTCGATGTCGTGCACTCTATGCCCCAGAAATGCTTTCTAAAATTTTTTATCCCATATAAAAGTATAATCCTTACTAAAGTATTTGTACATTTATTTATTTTAAATCAATTCGTAAAAAAAAGTCGAGATTTTTTATCAAAGAGTCTTCTTGTTTTTTTTTTGCTCTATTTTATTCAATAAAATAACTTTTGTCTCGTCTTCCTTTCTCTCTCTCTCTCTCTCTCTCTCTCTCTCTGTGATTACGTAAGCAATTTGCATACGCGATGGATAAAAGACACAGTGCCTCGAGTGAGAACTGGTTGTACAAAAACAGCCTAAGAATGGAAATTTGACGTGTGAAAGAGAAAGAAACGAGCATTCTCGGTTGCATATGCTACGGCGTCGGGAAATGTGAGAGAAATCGAAGTCAGCGCATACGGAGACTTCCGGTCGGGTGATTCTCTTTCGACGACATCCATATAAAGGAGAATTCGAATATAGTGCAACGTAAGACAGTCCTTCCGTGACCTTCCCTCCCTCGATCGGGCCATCAATCTTAATTGCATTTTAAACGAGGTTTATATAATCCACCGTAGAAAGTCGGTCAAAGTCAATTAACGGATTAATACAAGCGACGCGTATATTGATTACGGTCTTGCAGACCGTAAATTATATAAGGCTCTACATATATGTATATTTTATAGATATATAGCGGAAATGGATCAGCTAACATTTTTAACTTTAGAAAATTAAAGTAGAAAAAGGTAGGTATATAATTCTCTTCCCTCTTATTCTCTCTGGGGATCGTATCATCGATCGTGCTATATGTCATTGCATCGTTGACATTTCGGTCCAACGAGATCGATGTATACTGGCAGAGCAATTTGCGCAGATGCATCACGCGAACGGATTCACAAACAGACTATGACGAATGACAGCTGAAAAAGTCAGAGGAAGGGAATGAGAGAGAGAAAGACATCGATCAGTAGAAAGCGGGAACGGCATTCGCAGAAACCGACAAAATATGTCCAGATGAACGAGATGAACGGACGCGCTTCCCGCTTGTTTCATCGTCCCAGTTTCAATGATGTACAAATTTTGTTAATGCCATTTAAGCGATCGGTCATCAGGCTCTTCGATCAGCGGAGAGGGCTATTGCGGAGCCGATTAATTATGACTGATGGGGCTACTGACCGCGCCATCGATCGCATAACGTTCCCTCTTGTTGTACGACGCGTGCCGTACCAGAGAGCAGAGAGGCAATGATTTCACGGCTTCCGCCGCAGCCGGCGCAATGAAACTGTCTGTTCGTTCACCGCAGTTCCGCTGCCGCGGCGGCGGTCGACGAGATATCGTTCTTGTCGTCGCGAATGCCGTATATTTCTCTTGAAAAGACTTGTCGCAGTGTATCATTTTGATTCTCCGCAAAAGAGAGATTTCATCCATCTATAATATTTTGTATTTAAAAATCGTTACGATCGAAATTATTATATATTTTTATTCTATGCGTGACTCTTTTATTTTATAGAATTTTTTTATTTGGACTCCCGAGATGATAAATATATTGAAAAAAGAAAATCGCGCTTGGATCTGAAAGACTGTATGAAGAATGCACAATTGTATGTATTATTGTACCGCACGCTATATTATGGTTTACAGGGTGTCCCAGAATTAGATCGGCAAACTTCAGGTGGTTATAAAGGACACCAAAACAAGCCAATTTTGCCAATAAATCCGTGTCCGTAAATGAGCCGTTTTGGCACTAGAGAATCAAAGACTAACAAGGGAACCTCGCAAACCCGAAAGTTCTGATTTTGAAATTTTACATACAT